CATCCAAAATTTGCTGAAATTTTATTGAATCCATTTTTCCTTCTACTCGTGAGATGTTCCCTGTGCCACTGGCTGCAACACAACCCCAAAGCATGATTGATCCAACCCCATGCTTAACAGTTGGACAGAGGTTCTTTTCATTAAATTCTGTGCCCCTTCTTCTCCAAACGTACCTTTGCTCATTCCAGCTAAAAAGTTCAATTTTAACCTCATCGGTCCACAGAACTTGTTTCCAAAATGCATCAGGCTTGTCTATATGTTCATTTGCAAAGTTCAAACGATGATTTTTGTGGTGAGGACGTAGAAGAGGTTTTCTTCTGATGACTCTTCCTTGAAGACCATATTTGTACAAGTATCTCTTTATAGTGGAATAGTGTACCACAACTCCAGTGTCTGCCAGATCTTTCTGGAGGGATCGTGCAGTCAAATGTGGGTTTTGAATTGTTTTTCTCACAATCCTGCGAGCTGTTCTGTCTGATATTTTTCTTGGTCTTCCAGATCTTGCTTTAACTTCCACTGTTCCTGATGACTGCCATTTCTTAATTACATTCCGAACAGAGGATATTGACATCTGAAAACGCTTTGCTATCTTCTTATAGCCTTCTCCAGCTTTGTGAGCGTCAACTATTTTCAGTTTCAGTTTTCTAGACAACTGCTTAGAAGAACCCATGGTGCTGATTGTTGGGGCAAGGTCAGATGAGTCTGGGCATTTAAAACCTTTGAGATTGACATCATCTGGTCTTCCCAGACGATGATTGAGAACAATCCATGACACGGGCAGGTCTCAGCTTTGCAAAGGGGGCAGTGCATGCTATAAATTCTGCAGGGTGCCCAAACTTTTGCAGACGCCATTTTTTTGTTTTCTGTTATTTTGAAAGTGTAAATGATGGAAATAAAATCTAACTTTTGTTGACATATTATAAGAATGTCTAATCTGTAATTTGATGCCTTTTGGAGATTTTTCCATCTTTCCTTGGCTTCTTTATGCACATTAATACAAATTTTTAGCTGGGGTGCCCAAACTTTCGAGTGTGTGTGTGTGTGTGTGTGTGTGTATACACATACACACTGTATATGCATGCAACATAACAGAAGGGTACTTTGTATTAAAGTGATTCTAAAGCCTGAAGGTTTTTTTATCTTCATGCATTCTATGCAGAGAAAAAAAAAAAAAACCATCAGTGTTGAGCTGCCCCCTCAGCCCCCTTATATTCACCCAAGCCCAATCCAGCAATGTGAACGAGAACAGTGACTCCCCTGGGTTTCTACATTCTCATTGGCTGAGACAAAGCAGCAGGAGCCACTTGCAGCCCAAGGGGCACTCTGCAAGGGAGAGGGCCTGGAGAACCAGCAGGGGACCCAACAAGAGGATGATCGGGGCTGCTCTGTAATTTTAAATATATATATATAAAATCAATATCAAAATCCAATGTGTGGCAGCCAACACTGTATGTAATCAATGTGCTGGTTTATAAATATTTTCCAGATTCTATATCAATATATGGCTTCAGCATAGGATGACTATTCCTGTAAAGAAACCCATCATATTTCTCAGCTCTTATTTTGGAGGAAAGCTGAACCGTGCCAAACTGCAGGGGAATAGGTAGGCAGACTAATTATAAAAGACAATGGAAAGTGCACATTTCTCTAGCTCAGGCCAAATGGTACATTAGTGAAATGTCCAGTCTTTGCCATTTGTGTAGCAGAAAATCATATCAGATGGAAAGTAATTTAATCTTACTGCAAAGACTGAAGTTTCTCTGGTTGAGATCAGCAAAGCTGCTGAGGCATCCACACTGCTTACATCCAGAAGGAGCATCCTTCCAAGGTCGCCTGCATCTATACCAATGTCAAATACAAGCCTTTATCGCTAGCTCAGGCTCCTTCACAGAACTGTCACAGTCTAATAGCACTCGTCATTACAGGCCCGTCAGCAGCCACTTATGACTCACACAGGTCCCAGTTCTCCTATTAAAAAGTAACATTTATCTGCCTTTTATCATTAAAGGGCCAGTCCACCCAAAATGGATAATTTCAGTTATAAGTGACATCTGGTAGGCTGAGCCGGCCAGCCTTAGGCTCCATGCACACTGCAGCTGATAAACTCACGATTAGGAGCTTTTCTGCATTTTTTTTTCAGCAGCCCCTGAACTCTCCCTAATGTTTTCCTGTGTGTCCATGTACACATCTTCGTTTACAGTCGTTTACAGGCAGTTGAGTTTACAGTCTTTTTTTGAACACACCAAATCTGCGTTCAGGAATAGATTTTATTAGCATTTCAAACGCCAAACGCTTGTAAACGCGTTTATAAACGTTTGAAAAAAAATGTTTAAACTCTTCCATTTCCAGATGCTGTCCAGAGCCCTTTATCATCAAGAATGCATGCAAAGTGTTTTCCTGGTACTCAAATGGACCTAGCACACCATAGTTTGAGGTTTCGCATGAAAGAAAATATGTTAGACACTGCTGCAATAATTTCTGCACAGAAATGAGCTAAAACACATCCAAACATCACAAAAAAAAAAAAAAAAAAAAAAGGCAGCTAAACTCAACAAATACTGCTATCTTTGCTTCTGCTTTATTTCTCTCAAAATGTCTGAATTAGTTTTTTTTTTTTACTGTTTTTCAGTGCATTCTGGGCTTTATGGAACGTCTCCTGAGGTTCTTTAAAAAACACTTCTAAACGTAAACGCTTATAAACGCGGTATGCAAACGCGGCTAAATAGCCGTTTTTAACCTACGTTTTCCAGCAGTCAGTTTCCATCACTCAGAAGTGTCCCGTGTACATGGGGCCTTAGACTTCTTGGATACTCCCAACAGCAAGTTGTTGAATAATTCACAAACCTGTTCCTGTCCACCTGGAAGTATTGTGTGTTCCTGCACTTGTGTTTCATAGGACATCATATAAAATAAACAATACAGCAAAGGGAGCGTGAACATAATGGCCAGAGCAGGTGTTCAGACCCAAAAGCACAGTTGCAGAGGTCTCATCAACAGATTCCCAGAGAGATGTCAGAACCTGAGAGTTAGTTTACCTCTCCAGCATCTACCAAGCCTGAAATACCAGTTGTTGGTACATTGACCCTCTCAGTGACTTTCTAACATGGTATGTCTTTAACCTCCTTGGCGGTATTCCAGAGTGTAGCTCGGGGTAACATTTCAGTACCACAAACGGTATTCCCGAGTGTAGCTCCACTCGGGAATACCATGCGGCACTGCTCCGGCATTTGTTCTTCACTTACCTTACCCTGCGCTCCCGCGATGTGTCCCCTGCAGCGTCCCCGGCCATCTCCTCCGGCCGATGGCAGCATCCGGCTTCTGTGACGTCGGGACGTACGGGCGCCGCGGCGGCGGCGGGAAATTTAAAAATTTTAAAAAATGTCTTTTTTTTTTTTTTTACATTTTACATAGTAAAACATTGCTGTCTCAACCAATTTCACATACATTTTGTCCCGAGTGCTTTGTCCTGCGCCCTGCCTGCATTTTGTCTGTTCTTTCTGCCTGGAAACTGAGAAATGTCCATGGCATCCAAAAAGTGTCCCTTTAGGTCAAAAGCAGGTTTAGATCAGCTAGAGAACAGCGATAGTAAATCAGAACCACTTGCAGAATTGAGTGATAAAGATTCGTGGGGAAATTCCTCAACAGTCACTGAAAACGATTTTGCGACTTTGCTCAGCAATGTGCTAACTTGGCGCTCTATTTCACATTTCAGTGTTTTTGGTTTGATTATATTATTGAATTAAATTTATTATTATTATATTATTTTTTATGATTATTTATTAAATTATAATTTATGATTACGTGTTTCAAATTTTATCATACCCGGGATGTTTACTAGACTCTTGTTCAGACAGATTTCAGTGAGTTATTCCTAAGAATTACAGGCCTACAATAAAAAAACTACATATTTCCATGCAAAAAAATGGTACCGCTTTCAGCACCAAAAATCGGAAAGAATCATACCGCCAAGGAGGTTAAACGTCAGGTTGTGGATGGTTATGTGCCAAGTAATTACCAGTAAATATCCATTAATAGCTATCAGATTCCCACTGCACTCGCCAATCTCCACGTACACAGAATGTACCGAGCCAATCCAAGAGGCTCAGTACCTTGTGGTCACTCTGGGGGAGTAAGCACATGATACCATTTACATGAATCATCTCCCCCATAAAAGCTTTTTATCTCTGGGCCAGTTCACACCATAGAAACACACTCCGGATGAGTTTCTGTATACACATTTCTGACACTTTTTTAGTGTGTTTTACTGCATTCCAGTACAGTTCAGAAAAAGTTCAGCATGTTTTATTTTTTTTCTGGAACTGAGACCGCACTGGAACTGACCACACTGGTGTGACCCATGCCATCGGAAACCATGTAACCTATTATCGATGCGTTTTTGATGCAGGGAAAAAAAAATGCACTGGACTGCAAGTGGTGTGAACTGGACCCTTTGTCGATGTTGCTGTTGGAGATCACCATCAACAGAACAGGAAGTGAGGGGAAATCTTAGCAATGGACCCCAGAATAGCAAAAAAAAAGTAAAAAAAAAAAAAAAAAAAAACACCCAACCAGAGTACTAATCCTTCATTACTCTATCAAAAACTGGAGGAAAAAAAAAAAAAAACAGCTTTGGCTGGACATAGACTTTAAGGGGAAATGATCAATATAGAGATTTCATCTTAGTAACATTTTAACTCAAAAAACACATTCCCACATCAAGGCTGCTGTTAATCATTAGGAGTAAGCCTACCCTTCAATTCTCATATACTGGATGGGTTCTGCTATTCAGTACAGTTGCTTTATTTATAATTTTAGCAAAATATTTATACAGTTAAAATGATACTACACTCAGGACCCTGCATTCACTATATCTGGTCTACCACAGTACACACAACATGGAAATGCAATTATTTTTAGTAACTATAAACTGCTAAATACCTTTTCTCATCAGCAGTTACAGCAGTCTTGTGACTTCAGCTGAGCACTGGTTAAAGCTTGTAGGAGGAGTTTTCTTTCTGCTCTAGGAGGATGTGAAACCCCTGACCTCTGTCTGGACAGTGCTGATTGGCCTTGTGCTGATCACATGCACCCTCCCAAGAAAAAAAAAGAACCCTCTCTAGCAATACACACCAAACTGAGCATATGCAAGTGACCATGGGTTCAGTCTGCATCAGGTGGACATTTCAACACTAGGAGGAGCAGAGAAATCAGGATAAAACAGCCTTTTTATACAATGCAGAGGATTAACTCCTTAGGTTCCACAGTGAGTATATCAAGCATGCTTTACTGCATATACAGACTGATTTTACTGTTGTGGGTTTATTAACTCTTTAAAATGGAAACCTTGACATTTTAAAAGGATACCTTTTTGGGGTGAACATGACTCACCATAAAAGTACTGTCAGTGATAATTACAGTAATCTCCACTGTATAAAATGTGCTAGCTGTAGCAGAGAACACCTCTATACTAAATTTTCAAATAAAAAAAAAAAATATCATACTGGACATTGCTTGAAAATGTGGATAGAAACGAGTTCTTCCACTGAATGAACAGTAGAGAGAAGTCCGCCGCCCACCGAAACAATGGATGCCCTATTTTGATATCGCACAGTTGTTAAAGCAAAACTAAAGTCATTTTTTTTTTAAATTGCTAGGAGGTTGAATTTTTGGCAGTAGAGACAATCAAATGTTCTTCTGCCAAAAGACATTCCTCTTGCTGCTTCCGATCTCTGGTCACTGCCTGAAACACATGCACAGAGCAGTCAGATTATCCACAGAATTGATATGATTCCTGAATAGAGCTGGGTGTTGATAGCGCATGTCTCCTCCGGGATGATGCAACCCCAGTACACCAATCAGGAGTCTAGGATGAAATGCATCAGTGCTAGCAGAATCAAATTTTAAAAACTTTTAAAGTTACTTTAACTACAATAAACATATTACACAAAGAAATGTTTCTTTATCCAACACATTCACCACCATTAATGAAGGATTGCCAGTTCCTCGAGGAGCATGGATCAGACGGATACTGCAGGAAAGGAGAGTGGTGTCTCCATGTGCTCACCTATCTGCTCAGCCTGTGGTGGCTGTGGTACGATCAGAGGACAGCTGAGGAAAGAACAAAGGGTGATCCGGCTCATCATGATCAAAAGCTCAATTGTATGGAAGACTGCTTAGCAAAAACCCAACCAAATCTATGTTGGTCAGAGCCTATTCAGTAAGCCCTGGTTCACATATGTGCGTTCCTGCGGTCCACGTTTTTGTGAGGGCACGAGAGCCCATTCATTTGAATGGACTCCCGTGCCCCGGGACACACAGGGAAGAAGTCCCTGCATGTCTTCTGAAAACCCAGCCCACACGGGAACCTCGGTTACCAGCACAGTTGCAATTTCCAGTGCGGGCAGCGTGCTATTAGAATTAATGGCACCCACCTGCGGGTCCGCATTCTTCTGTGCAGGTGGTGCGGCTCCACGAATTTTTGTGCGGATCCGCAGCGGCACCACCCGCACATATGTGAACCTAGCCCAAGTCAGGGTTCCTGGGGGCTGTGATGAGAAGGACATCGTTCATAGTTTTTTTCATTCATAGAACTAGAGGGGGGGAATGATGGCCAAAAGAGTTCAGGTGCTGGCACTGCACAATTGGAAACACTCTGATCCCTACACAAAGAAGCGGAGGAAGCGAGGAAATTCAGATCTCCCCACCACTATACTGGTTTCATAGAAATCAAAAGCTAATCACCTACAAAAAGGTAAGTGAAGCAAGGATGGGGGGGTTGGGGTTAAAATGTAACTAAAAGACAAATTTTTTTTTTTTTTTTTTTTTGAAGTGGAGATGGATGAGAACGCTCAGGTTTTTATTATCGTTTGTGCCCCTGTTAGGGAGATTCACCTTCTCGATTTGTCCTGTTTACCATTATCATTGAAAGTGAAAGAAAATCCTAAATTTTGCTTTGTCCCCAGATAAGTAATAGGAGGAATTTTCCAAAGAAGACACTAGTTCTAGTGACCAGGGGGTCCCCAAGGAATTCCCTTAAACTACTTGCCCTCCTGAAGATTTACCTCCTTCCTGACCAGGCCATTTTTTGCATTACGGTGCTGCATTACTTTAACTGACAATTACACGGTCATGCAACGCTGTACATAAAAGAAATCTGTACATTTTTTTCCCCACAAATACAGCTTTCTTTCTGTGGTATTTTATCACCCCTGTGCTTTTTATTTTTTTTTGCACTATAAAACAAAAAAGATTGACAATTTAGAAAAAAAAATATATTGTTTTGACCATTGGATATAAAAACATATCTGGAAAAAAAAAAATTAAACATAAAATTCCTTCATAAATTTAGGCACAAATTAATTCTGTTACATGTCTTTGGATAAAAAAAATCCTTAATAAGTGTATACACACACACACACAAGTAATGGTGTCGATCAGTGGAACTGGGGGACTGCAGCAGGCATTCTGACACTGGGTGGGAACTGACTAATTGCCACTGGCATCTCCAGTGACACCAATACAGTGATCAGTGTTAAAAAAAAAAAAAAAGCACTGACACTGCACTAATGACACTGAGCAGGAAGGGATTAACATCTGGGGCAATCAAAGGGTTAACTGTGTGTGGTTTGTGTTTTATTGTGGAAAAATGTATGCAGTTTTACTAGGGAGACCTGCTGCTTTCTATCTCTTTGCTGTGCAGAGATGGAAAGCAGCACGCCCATGCTGACAGGAGAGAGATCTGTGTTGTTTACACACAGATCTCTCCCCTCTCAGCTTCGCCGACGATCACCAAGTCCTGGCCAGCACCCGGTGATGGACATCCACAGGAACCAATTGTAGCGAGGGTAGGGCGGCGCACACCCCCTACCCGGAAATGCAAAATCACGTAAATTTCACCCCATAGCAGAACATCTGCTATGTGGGGGTTGTCAAGCGGTTAATTTGCAGAGATTTTCTGTTTTGGCCATGCAACAGGGAGTAAATGTAAAGCTCCCTAATGGGACATAGATGGCTACAAATAAACTGACAGAGGGTTTTACCCTCCCTTACTCCATCCAATATTTAAAAAAAATTCCCAGGATCATTACAGCAGCTGGAGTAGCAAACCCCCACATTGCATTTTTGAGAGGAAACATGTTGGGGCGGAGCCTGGTGACGTCACAGGAGGAAGTCCTCACACAGCTATGGCTTGCCTTTGGAAAAATTAAGTAGCCATCAGAAGCTTTGCATGCTGTACACATGGTGCTTAGTTGCACACAGTTCATTTGAGGCTCCATTCACATCTAGGCATTTTGTATCAGACAGAATTGTAAAAATGCAAAACTGACAAAATTGCACTGTGCTTGTTCTGGTGCCATTCATTTTCAATGGCACCTAAAATGCGAGTGTGATTTTGGCACGATAAATTGTGCTGCAATTGCGGAAAACCGCACTGTGCGCAGCTTGTTGACCAAAAGGAGCAGGAGCTTCTTTTGGGGCAACAAGCTTCGCACAACAATCGCAGCAGAAGCGCACTGTCTTGCGTGCCACTGAAAGTGAATGGCACCTAAACAGGCTTGGTGCGATTCGTCAGTTTTGCAAAGCACTTTGGGACCGCAGGCAGCATAGTGGAGATTCTGCCCTCGATACAAAACTCCAAGATGTGAATGGAGCCGGATTGCCTTGTTTGATTTCATCTTTGATCAGGTAAAAAGAACACTATTGTAGTCCCTGCTCTGATTTTTACTGAGATTTTGATCCTGGAACAATGCAATTAGGCATTACAGATTTTACTGAAGTAGCACTGCCAAAGTATTATTACAGTAGAATGGAAGGCAAACATTTATTTCTTCACCTTGGAAAAGGTGATGGGGTCCGTAAATTTTTATTTTTTAATTTTTGCTATTGGTCCCATAGGAGAGATTTCCCTTTACTTCCTGTAGTATATCCAAAATATGAAGAAGTGAGAGGAAATCCCTTCAAACTGAGGGAATATCTGGTTGTCCCCAGGGTCACCAGAACTAGTGTCCCCATTGGAGGGTTTCTCTGCCTGAATCTGAAAGTCTGAAAGGTAAAGTTATCTGGAGTACAACATTTCAGTTTTAGGCAAAGGTGTGAAGAATTTATTATTGAAGATTCACTGAAAATAAAGGACTATTTTAATCTGGACACGCAGTTTTTGGCTATCATCCCAACACCTGCTACTAATCTTGCACTAGAGACTTTATCTTGTGATTAAAAAAAGCCTTTGGAATTTATTTATATATTTCTTTACAATATTAAATTAGAATTAAATGCATTTTTTCCCATTTTGAATAGAGTAAGGGAGGGTTTAACCCGTCAGGTTTTTTTTTTCCATCTGTGTCCCATTGGGAGATTCCCCTCGACTTCCTGTTTCATAACCAAAAAGAGGAATTGAAAAATTCCTCCAAAGTGAGGGAGTCCCTGGTTGACATCATTGTCACCAGAACTAGCATCTGCATTGGAAGATTTCCCCTCTACTCCTATTCTGGTGCAACCCAAAATTTAGTATCTTCTTTCACTTTTGGAGATAATGGTCGCCAAGACAAATCGAGAGGGTGAATCTCCCTAACAGGGACACATGTAGCAAAAAAAACTGACAGGGGTTCTAATCCATCTCCACTCTATTCAAAAAGAAAAAAAAAGTATTTTGTTATACTTTTTTTTATATTTGTTAATTTTTGTGGTTTAGCATATGCACGTTCTATCACTAGTGATGGTGAGGTGCATTGATTTAGAAAAGCACCACATCTAATAATTATATGAAGAATTTGTATGACAAGGGCCTGGCATATTTCAAGGTAGCAGTTGGGGATATAGCACACATATTGGAGTATTCCTTTTTTGCAGTATGATCAATTTATGTAGCTCAGAAGATCTCAATTGTGATTTCAAAAGCATAGTTGGAAAAAAAAAAAAAAAAAAAATTGGATACTTGCAGAAAAGCAATGTTTAGGCAAAATAAATAAATAAAATTATACACTGCTCAAAAAAATGAAATGAACACTTATTAATCAGCGTCTAGCATCAAGTCAATGAAACTCTTGGGATATTGATCTGGTCAGCTAAGTAGCAGAGGGGGTTGTTAATCAGTTTCAGCTGCTTTGGTGTTAATGAAATTAACAATTGGTGCACTAGATGGGCAACAATGAGATGACCCCCAAAACAAGAATGG